GGAAGGCCTCTCAGAGGGCATCTACCCCAATCCACAAGTTTCTTCAACTATGTATTTAACTCTTATCTGGTCAGCCAACATGAACACCTGGGCGCCCATCCAGGTATGCAGGTGGGCCAGTCTCTCAGTTGACAGTGGAATCAAGTTCCTTTTTCCACACTCAGCATATCAATGTGGTAGGCTGGTAGAGTTGAGATGAATAACTTATCCTACAGGATAAGTCATATTTACAAAAATTAAAAAATATAAGCAGAGCCTCCTTATAGGTTAATACACTTTTCCAAACTAAGAGCTAAATCCAATTTTAAATTCCAAATAAACTAGACCTATTGAATCAATGGAACTTTGGTGAATCAACACTTAACGTTAAGTACCATTGATTCACTGGGTCCATTCTATCTGGGTCTAATACTGTACAGTAATTGGATCACATTTGATCTTGTATTGGTTTTATATAGAAGGCTGTTTTAACATTAAAAAGCAAGACAATTCTAGATTCCCTATGCTGAGAAAGGAGACACAAATGATCAGGAGGTTGGAGCACTTCCCTACGAAGAAAATAGGGAAGTTCTCCAACTTAAATGCAATGTCTAGTCCCAATTTAGACCCACTGAATCAGCTGTTCAACACTTCGTTGTGAGAGCAAAGGCAAGAGAAAGGAGTCTCTCACTGGAGTGCCGCCCTTTCCACAGACAATTGAGAGGGAAAGCCAGACCTTGCCCACTCCAGCTCCCTGAAGAAGAGAGCAATGGGGTACTGATGACCAGGACTTGGAGAAGCAGTTGCGCGGGTTAACAGTAGCCATTCAAACTGAGGATTTGGCGGGAATAGGAAGAGCAAAGAGGGTGGAGATTGAGGTGGGAACAACGGAAATAAAAAGAAAGGAAAGCCCATTGCTGCCAGATTGGGAATGGGTTTGGCTACAAGACCCATGGACTGGAGAATGGGAGGGGCTGCAGATTCCCAAAGAAGAGGATGACTACCGGCACCAAAGTTCCCCCTAGCCTAGAACATCTTACTGGGGTGATGCCGAGGCCGGCGAGCGGCAGAGGAGATTGAGGGAGGAAAAGGAAAAGGTGAAAAGAGAGAAAAGGGAAAGATTGGCATAGAGGGTAGAGGAGATGAGGAGGAGAGGGTACCAGGAGGACCCTGGGTGACCTTTTCCCCAACAAGGGGTGCCAGGTGGATCCACCCCCTGAGAGGACAAGGCCGTTCCCATATTGGAAAGAGAGGTTGGAGAGGCTATGAAAGACGCTGTGACGACTGGGTGGCCAGGACCATGGAACCAATGAAACCAAACCCTTTTTGAATGACACTTGGGTACCCCTGTCTGACCCATTGGTGGCAGGTGACAAGTTAGGGAACACTTGTTTGGACAGTGATTTCTTGTGGAATACTCCAATAAAACCTTTCCCCTGATTCAAAGTTGAAAAAGATTCCTGGTTTTGTTGTGGAGACCGAAGACTTAAATTTGAACCCTCACATTCGTGTTCTGCTTTTCTATCTTTTGCTATGACCACATGGTTGGCTACTGTGAGAAACAAAATACTACACAGGATAGGCATTTTTACCTTATCATGGAAGGTTCTTTTCATGCCATGTTAAAATGAACACTTGCTAAAAAGGAAACATCTGAAGGAGGAGGCTGTTTAGTGTTTTTTTTTTAAACCACCTATTAATATTGCATAAATTAACAGCAAATAAGGATTAAAAAGATGAGATAGAATTCTACTTTAATGGCAAACTGGTGGCCAGTACCCATATACTGTATTTGGAAACTGAACTTGTATACTGGGGTAGGCAGACTAAATACAGAACTATATGTTTGTATTAATTGGATCAGGAGATACTGCTATATGCTTTACTTATGCTAAGTGAACCAGAAGAATTCCGAGCAGCTCTAGAAAGAGACAGTAACTGTAAGTTGCAATTATAATACATTTTTAAGCTTTGAGGAGGGAACTGGGTCTGATTAATGTTTTCTGTATTACCTGTTATGAAAATTCAATGAAGCAATGTTACCAAAAGCAGCAAATACAGCTCATTTAACCCTGCAGTACTGGAGTCCTTGCTGTTTATGCATGCAAAATGTCATGGAGAATCTACGTATTTATTACCTCTGATTTTAAAGGTTTTATTAACGGACGTTTTCATGCTAAATAATTGCCTTCTGATTATATATTACTGTTACCTTGACCTTTACTTCCTACTTCATGACAGCCCTGACTGGTAAATAAAATAGTTCAGACAAACAGTGGAGAAGATGGCAGAATTGTTCCCAGATTGAATTACTTTTGACCAGGATGTTTTGCTACCTCAGGCAAAGGACAACATGGCACCCTCTTGCTTGCTTGCTTGCTTGCTTGCTTGCTTGCTTGCTTGCTTGCTTGCTTGCTTGCTTGCTTGCTTGCTTGCTTGCTTGCTTGCTTGCTTGCTTGCTTGCTTGCTTGCTTGCTTGCTTGCTTGCTTGCTTGCTTGCTTGCTTGCTTGCTTGCTTGCTTGCTTGCTTGCTTGCTTGCTTGCTTGCTTGCTTGCTTGCTTGCTTGCTTGCTTGCTTGCTTGCTTGCTTGCTTGCTTGCTTGCTTGCTTGCTTGCTTGCTTCCTTCCTTCCTTCCTTCCTTCCTTCCCTCCCTCCCTCCTTCCTTCCTCTTAATTTCTATTGTTTCACTAGACCCTTGAGCTTGGGTGCACAGTTTGAAGCTGCATTTTTCCTTGACTGTTCTTCCTTCTACTTGGTTTGAGTTTGTCAGCATGATGGTGATCCTACTGAACTGTGTAACGCTTGGGATGTACCAACCCTGTGATGACATGGACTGCCTCTCCAACAGATGTCAGATTCTGCAGGTAGGTAGCTACCTCTCCATAATGGCAGTAAGTGAGCTACTAACTGGGATTTTCAACAACATTCTCTTATTTTTTATGACAGCACTGTTAAGTTTGCCAGCAAAAGTATACGAAGAGAAACTCTGTCACAAGTTACCATTCTAGCAACTTTCTACTGCTATTCTGAACCAGTGCCTCTCCCTAGTCATACATCTGTTTTTATGCATTCCTAAACAGGTTTAAAATACATTGCTGGTTAAAAAAAAAAAGATGTATGTCTTTGCCCATGTCAAATATCTGTCAGGAAAGCAATATGGAGCAATGGTGGACAGCTACCAGAAGTCGAGAGGCTATACATGCCCCGTGGACCTCAAAGGGATACATACACATGACCTCTCCTCTGAGGGATTTTATATTGCCATGGTTTAGGCCCAATCAGACTTACTGAAAGTGTAAGGGAAATACCAAAAAAAATCACTTTTGGTTTGGGAGGGGGGGAAGCCCCACTGGGCCTAAAACAAGCCAAATGGCCAAAACAAAACAAGAATAGCTGAGTATCTGGCTACGGAGCCAGAGGTTGGAAATTCGATTCCCTACTGTGCCTCCTTCATAGGGACTGGACTCAATGATCTATAGGGTTCTTTCAACGCTGCGGCTCTAAGATTATATGCAGGTTATATGCAAAAACCACCATAATGGAATTATGCTCATAATTTCCAGATTATGGGACTTCCTCCCTCATTTTTTTTAAAGTTTTGGGGATATTTTGGGGTGCTGGAGGGTTGAAAAACTGCACTGGAGTCCCAGGGGAGCCATCTGTGGAGCACATTGTACTCACCTCATGTAGAGAATTCATATTCTTGATATGTTTGCACCCACCAGTTGTTTGTTCTCTTGAGCAGTGAGTTGACATAGCTAGGAATGAAAGCTGATCAAAAGCCACTTCAGTTAATCTTATCCTTTTTCAGGTTTTTGATGATTTCATCTTCATCTTCTTTGCTATGGAGATGGTGCTGAAGATGGTGGCCTTGGGGATTTTTGGCAAGAAATGTTATCTTGGAGACACCTGGAACCGCCTGGATTTCTTCATTGTAATGGCTGGGTAGGTTTCTACCTTGTTTATTTCTTCTTCTTTTGATAAGAATGCTTTTAAAACAGAGCCAACAATATGGGAACTGTGTTATATTATAGAATTATCTCAAGGCATGCCTTGAATGCAAAACTGAGCTAGGTGAACAATACAGGAGCATATGTGCTCTCTTTGTACAATCAATCTCATTGCTCGTCATTAGCTCTCAGATTTGTGATAGAAATTCTTTTTGCAGCCCCAAAGAAGAATTGAGTTTACAATTGGTTGTTGTAAAACCAATTTGCCAAGGAAACCTATGACAAGAATAGCTTATTGAAGGAGTTCAATGAATTTCCAAAGGCAAGTCACAGCCTCTCAGCTTTAGTTCACTATTTGTAAAAGGAAAATCATAATAGTCTATGTTATAATGTTATTGTGAATGCAAAGGCCAGTGACCCACAACATACAGTACTTTGTTACATCATATCTGAGACAGACAAGCTAGTCTCTGCATATTTTCTCTTTATCACAATGTGAGTTAGCAAATGCAACCCAAAACAGAATTAGGCACTAAAACAGGGGTTGGGAACCTCAGTCACCCACCATCAAATCCTGTCCTCTGGTCTTCCTCAGGTAACTATATCTGCATCCCGATGTTATTATTGTTGTAGGGTTTCCCACCTTTTATATACTGTAGTTTTTTCTCTGGTTTAAAAGGCTGAAATGCCTCTCTTAAGGCTTAGTTGATGCCTACACCTATTGCCTCTCTTAAGGCTTAGTTACTGGTAGTAAGAGCTTTAAATAGATGTATGTTAGCATTTAAAGTCCCACGTTTTTGACTTTGATTACTCTTTCCCAAATAAATCAGATACTGTATAGGCAAGCTCCAGGGCCCTGGAGGCCACCGTACCCTCCAATATCCATTGCATGTTGCACCCCCCCCAATGCATTTCTCAATTTTTTTTTCACTAAGGCTTAGTTACTGGTAGTAAGAGCTTTAAATAGATGTATGTTAGCATTTAAAGTCCCACGTTTTTGACTTTGATTACTCTTTCCCAAATAAATCAGATACTGTATAGGCAAGCTCCAGGGCCCTGGAGGCCACCGTACCCTCCAATATCCATTGCATGTTGCACCCCCCCCAATGCATTTCTCAATTTTTTTTTCACAAGTTTGAACTGACTGGGGGTTTGCTTCCAGTTGGTGTATGGGGGGGGGGGAGATCTCCAGAAACACACTGTAATGCCAACACACTGGAGCAAGATTCTTGTCTAGACAAGATCCTGTATTTTGCCTGTGTTCTTACTGGCTTCCAGGGACAGTGATTCTTCCTTTTTGGCTGATATTTTTCATGGAGTGTGTGACCAGGCAGGGATCTAGGGCCTGCAAAAACGTACGCGAGGGACTGTTTGCAGCTCATGGACTTCATCATTCCCTTTGAAGGGGAGCAACTGAGCTGAAATCTCAGTTGTTCCTCTTCAATACTGCACAACAACATGTGAGATGCTGCCCGAGGGAATAAAAACTACCCCAATGCTGGGCTCCCCGGTGTCTGCAACAGGGTTTGTTGCTCATTCTCTCTCTCTCTGTTGACATACAAAGCCCTAAACAATTTGGGACCTTGATACCTGACAGAACACCTCCTTCCAATGAGCTCTGCCCATCCTGTACAATCTTCCCAGGCTGGACAGTTGAGAACTTTGACCCCGAGGCTAAGAAAGAGAAGACCAAAAACAGGACCTTCTTGGCGGTTGTTCCTTATCTTTGGAATAATCTCCCACCTGAAATTCACCTGGCCCCTTCACAGAGAATTTTTAAATGATCATTGAAAACTTGGCTTTTTAAACAAGCCTTCCTGGAGTTTATAACATCATCACAATGGTTGTCTCAATGTTCATATTATCAGGTCCACCACCTTTCCTTTAAATTATTATTATTATTATTATTATTATTATTATTATTATTATTATTATTATTATTATTATTATTATTATTATTATTTGATTTGATTTGATTTGATTTGATTTGATTTGATTTGATTTATACCCCGCCTATCTGGGTGACTCCCCCCTCCCCCCGGTATGCTGCTGCTGGGATGCTCAGGCTTTCTGGTGGTTTTGTGCTTGAGGGACGACTATGGTGTCTCTGTGTGCAGGGCCTGGTTAGACTACAGGTCCCAGAATATCCAAAACATGTCATGCTAGTTGGGGAGGGATTATGGAAGTTATAGTGCAAAGCAGGAGCAACAAACTTTTCTGAGCTTTTTCAGTGTGTCAAGATGAGAGAGTGGATAGCATTATGTTGCATCTCTAGAGATCCCTGGCATGTATGGCTCCCCTCTGGGCCTAATTACAGGGACTTGCTGGGAAAAAATGGTAAGTAGCTAGAGGAAGGCAGGTGGGAGGGGCAAGAGAGCTCTTTCTGATCACATCAGCGCTATGCTCCTTTTCTAGGCTGCTGGCATTCACAGCATCTTTGTTTAGCAACAACAACAAAAGCAGTGTTGTGATTCTGCCTTTACATCCTTTTGACCCACCTAAGCACACCTCAGGGATGTGTTGACATTTGAGTGTTTTTAACAGGGAAGTTGCTATAGTGCAGCTCCTGCCTTCCACTTCACGCGTCTCACTGCACGCCAGTCGAGGGGCCCACAAGGATTTGCCAGTCAAATGTTTGGTGAGCGTTCCCTGCCTGCACCGGTGGGCACAGTGTTGCAAAATGGTTTCTTTTATAAAATAAGCTGTGTTGTAGGGAAGAAAGGGCATTATTCTTCCACCACAGAGAATCATCACCTGTCATTCCTACCTGGAACTCACTGGTTGAACTAGCAGTGGGTTCAAGCCTGAGCATAAAGCAGCCTCTGAGCATGAAAAGCAGCAGCATTTCAACGGCTGTATCCCGTCCAGCGAATCGGCATAGAGTTGCCACCTGGCTTATTTTAAACCAGCCTCAATGTTTTATTGCCATCTTGGAGCTTTTATTGTCCTTGTTGTCTAGTCCAGCTACAATGTTTAGTGCTGTCCAGTTTCAACTGTCACAGGGCTCTGTTCCATTCACAATAAAAACCTTTGTTGTATTGGGTTCTGTTTTTTAAAAAAATATATTAAAATTTCAGCATACACACAACGTACAAGCACTTGCAGGCTATTGTGCCAGGGGAGTGAGTTTTTCTGCTCCTCTGCCAGAGGTCCATTTATTTTGAAGTGGCTGTGGAACTGATACCACATACGTGCACACCCCAGCTTGCTGTTTTTTTAAAAATTCCTGCTGTCTAATACAGTGCGATACTAGATAGTAGGAATTTAAAAAATATTAAAAGCATTGCACTCCACTTCCTGAAGAAGCTGGTGCTGCACCAAACAGCTCATTCCCAGTCACCAGTCAGCCAAGCCCTGCCTTCCTTCCCTCCCCTTTCAGCCCCCACCACTTCCCTCTCCTCCCACCCAAGGTCTCAACCATCCTCTTCTCCTCACCCCCTCCAGATCCTTCCTGCCTTCTATTCCTCTCCGTCACTTGCCGCCATGCCCTCCCACTCTCACCTCTTCCTCCTCTTTCCCTTTCCCCCCTTTCTTTCTCGCCCACCTCCCCCCAGATAGCATCCTCCTTGCTGCCACTCTTGCCCCAGCCAAGTGGAGCCACCTGATTGGAGAGAGAGTTGGCAGTGGCGGCAGCAGGGAGGCTGAGGCAGTGGCAGCCGAGAGGATACACTTGGCAACCTAAAAAATTTGATTTGGGCTAAAGACCCAGTTGACTTTAGCCTGAATGCAAAGTACTCCAATCCTTCTCCTGCTTTATTCTGACCACGGAGCCAGGCCTATACAGTCAAAGAAACTGACATGTGCAAATAAGATACTGCATTTCCCTTTCTGAAAAGTGCTAGCCCTGGGTGCAAAGAACTCTGCTCATCCATACATGCAAGCATATATACCTTATTGAACTTTAAAAAAATGAAGAAATATCTGTGTCATAAACCCATCATCATTACAGTATGGATTTTTAAATATGGCTTTAAAGGGGGATTAGAAAATTCAAGGAGGAAAAGGTTGAAGTTTTGCAGAATAGCTTTATAAAATAAGCTGTGTTGGGGGTGAAAGGATATTATTCTTGCCCCACAAAGAATAAATGTCTGATCACTGCACCTGTAATGTTAGCAGGGATCCATTTCTTTCTGACTCTGTGTCTGGGCTTCTTGAAGGAATCCATTTGGCAACTGTGGAAAAGACAATGCTAGGTTAGATCAGAGGTTGGGAAAGCTATATTTTGGATTATACAAGTCTCAGAATTTCACAGCCAACATGGCAAACTGTCTATTCAGAAGATTGTGAAGGTTGTTGTTCAAAAAAGAGGAACTTTTCAAGTCCATAAAATTCTGGACTTGAGGGATTTGCAGTCTGCTTCAACTCACTAAGGTCTACAGAAATCTTTGCTTCAGTCAGTCAGTCAGTCAGTCAGAGTCTTTATTGGATACACAAAAAGTATCAGAAATGCAAGATAACAAACAAACAATTAATTAACTGGATCTCTAAATTCATGATGTCTCAGTCTGCCGTTCCTCATTTTCTGGTGCAAAATATATATTTGTTCTTCTGTTGTGATCCTTATTGACATTTTATTTATTGTTCTTACAGCATAACACGAATAGCTCTCCATTGCATAACATGTCAAACATTTTGCTTTTGTACCAAGCAATTTTTAAAAGACCCTCCTCCCAACATCCAAATGTATATTTTAAATGATCTTCAAAATCTAGTGCAGGGTCCCTGATAGATGCTGTCTTGATGTACTGGGAGCAATACATTTGAGCCGTCTCTGTTTACTCCTTTCCCTCCCTATCACAAGCATCAGTGCTAATATTTTTGAACATCCGTGGTTCATACAACTTGTTTGCAGATGAATGTATGACCTGAGAGTGGTTTCCCAGAATCACATGATCATCTGCAAAACATTGGTGTGAATTACCCATTTTGATTATGATATATATACAGTACATCGCCCTCAGAAGTGATTCCTAAAGCTCTAGATCCTGAATGGCA